CTCCTCCACTTGGGGCAGGGTCTCATCCCTGACCCAGAGTGGGCCCTCCATCCTTTTCTGGCTTTTTCTTCACTCATATTTGAGTGAAGAATGACGACTGAAGGGGAGTAACATAATATTCAATTACAAATTACAATTACAAAATTGCTGTAGAAACCAAATGTGACCAAGAATGAAAAGAGAAAATTGAGAACTTACTCTAGTATAAAAACATTATCAGTATGACACGTTACTGAGGTGTGACATAGATAAACAGAGGCGAAAGAGAGCATGCAAGTCAGGCATAAGTAGAAGATTGAGATAGAGGGATGAGGGTGCAGTTTGGTTATCTGATCATAATCCGTTGCTTGTTCCTCATTGGTTCATTGTTGTTGTGAAGCACTTTGTGATCCTTATATAGAAAGGGTTTTATAAATGTGGGGGTTTTTTTTACTAATTTTTAGAAATTTATGTATGTTACAACATAGTGGTCAGCTACGACACTAACAAATGTGACAATCACACGGTGACACTTTAGGATCAATGAATAAGACCCCAGCCTCACAGGGCTACAGATGGTCAACGACTACCTGGCAACCTCAGTCATGAGTAAAGAATAAGTATTCCCTGGTCAGTGAAGGCTGATGGCAGTTGCTAAGAAAATGAATGCTGAAGCTCCACTTACACAGTAATACAGACCGGTTAGTGACCCACTGGCAACCACCTGTCACTAGCATATTACTGCACCTGTTTGAATGGAAGTGATGCTGGCTGGAGCATGTTGGCTGGAGTACTGAGGTACAACTTTGCTTTTTGAAGTTGTACTACAGATAGTAGCAAAAAACTGCAGCCAACATGCTAGCAACCAAAACGCTGCCAACCACTTGGGGAATACACATTTTCCCTTGCAACCCTTTCCCTTTGAAAACTGGAAAAGTTGACATTTTTAATGCTGTTGTAAAAGTAAATGAATGAATTAAATCCATAGTTTTTGAACAACTCTGTCTTTGTTGCTATATAAGGCCTTTAAGATGACTTAATTGGACATGATTTTTGCTTTTGTGCATATTATTGAGCATGTAGGAACAACAGTTCAGCAGTCATTATCTTGTCTCCTGTTTTCACACAATGGATGCTAAATTTCAAGACAAATGAGTCAACTAGCAGTGTGCTGCATATATCCCAGTGTGAGTCAAAAGCACTGATTGAACACTGAGCCCTTTAGGATGCACTTAAAGAATAACAAGACAGTCAAAACAGGTTGGAACGGCGCATATTTTCCTTGTGTTAGATCAAATTGTTTTTAGACTGTATGCAGTAGATATTTTAACTTTACTGGACATTAGCAGTCTGCTAATGTGCTGGTATTTCTGTCGCTCAGATGCTTGCACCTAAACATACTGAGCTAGAAAATAAATAATCAAAAAAAGACCAAAGAGCCAAATAGTGAGACCAAGGCTGTGATAAAAGGGCACATATAAACATTAACTGAAGTAGAAAGAAAGCCAGAGAGAAATGGCTCCATTCAGCCGTAACAGACTGTGTGGGAGGGAAGGAGAGCTGCTGACAGTGAAAAGTGACATAACTCAGGTAGAGAGTCTTGTTTTATAATTCATTGCAGAGTGTGTGTGTGTGTAAGTGTGTAAGAGTGTGTCCTGCAAACCATTATTGTAGATGAGGGTATTGCTCTTTCCACTGCCCTTATGTTCATTTATAGTTGATGATTTCAAACATTTATTTTTAATGACATTAAACAGTGACCCAAGAGGAAATTATTGGCCTTATTAGAGTTCATTTATTTTTATGTTAATCCAAGTTCATGTGTGTAGTAACCGCACAGCACACAGCCAAGATCGGGTGCATAACTCAGCAAAAGTCTTGCACTACCCACATTTCTTTATATTTTGATATTGAAATGTTTTGTACAAGAATAACAAGCTTGAAAGTCAAGTATTGATAGGACTGTTTTTATTCTTTAATACAGCGTAACTCTCTTCAGCAAGCCTTTGTTCAAGTAGCCTTTGGAAATAGATCTTCAGGCTTCTTGGAGGATGTTCAAAGCTCTTCTTTGGGTGTTGGCTGGCTTTTGTTCTGTTCTCTGCCAAGATGATGCTGTAATGTTAAACTCCATGACTGTATGTTTTTCTATGCAGGTATGCACTATCCACAGTGTGTTTGGGATCACTGTCACGCTGAAAAAGCCATCCATTACCAATCAAAAACTTTCGCATGGTGGATCAAAATCTGATGGTCTACTGTGTTCATAATTCATAAAAGATCACACTACTGACTAAAATGCAGCCCCAAACCACAACAGAGCCTCTATTATGTTTTACAAATGGCAGTAGATACTGTTGCACCTCTCTGCTGACCTCCTGTGTACATATTGACCTCAGCATTTTATCCCCATTTCCCTTTCTTAAGAATTCCTTCTTCACAGCCACCCTTCCATTAACACATTTCGGATGAGCCAAACATTAAATGAATCAACCTAAGTGTCTGATGCGTCTATTGAGTCCTGTGTCAGGACATGGCTTCAGATACTGTCCATCTGTAAATAGTTTTTAGGACTGCCATTTCTTTTGTTCTCCCATTATCCAATTTCCCCAGTTTTTATGGACACACTGGGAATCACCTTATTGATGCAAAAATACTATTTTAAGTCTGTCAAACTGTGAATTTTTTCATAGATTCAATTAAAAAAAAAATAGTAAAAACAATTTTGTTTTTGAAATAGATATTTTCTATTTAGATAGATAACAGCTATTTGTTATGTGTAGATTAGTTTATTAATGGGCTGAGGGGCCTTTTTTTTTATTAAGTGGCTATACGAACAAAAAACAAACCAAAAATTTCATTTGAAATTGATCAAGATGAACGACTGGATTGAAAATGAGTAAAAAAGCAGCCAATGTCCCAAAAATTTTGAAAGACCTTAAGAAGCCTAAAGAACTCTTATTCAAAACCACGTCTCACTCGTTGAATGCAACATATGCATCAAAAATCAAATGCAGCTCAAGACTTTTGCACAGTACAGTATGTTTAAGACTTAAATATCAGGCTTCTTGTAATATCATAATAATAAGCATCTTAACAGTCTTGCTGTCTGCCTCTTTTTGAAGGTTACTTAAAATATTCAGACAGTGATTATTTCCAGTTGTTTCATGAGCATAACAAAAAAAACAGCAGTCAGTTTATTAACATGCAAATGGATTGTTGTTCATGACAATCATGAATGTGTAAATGCTATATATTTAAATGTTAAGATGTAAGGTTAAAACATAACTAAATATATTTTTTAAGGTCAGACCTCATACAACTCCGTATGGGAAAGCAGCTGCAGTTTGAAACCTTTCCAAACTCGCCTGGGTTTAGAGTGCTAATGGGGTTTTATTCGGTTGTTTGGAACATTTTAATGCATCACCACCTCTTTGAATGTTAATAGTATGCAGTGACTGAATGACAAGGGTGAAATCAATAAGAGATTATAGCTTTCCCTGGAATCACCAAGTCAGCATGTTTCATGGAAGCAGCAGGTGGTCTCGTTTTATTCATTCATTTATAAATGGATCAGAAAAACAGCCACTTATACAGCGAGCGCACAGACTTCTAATAGCATGTGAGCGTTTCTCTTTTACTGAGTGAGGAGAGTAATTTAAATTTCAGGTTCCAGCTATTCCCTTCTTTCAGCAAACACTCACACAGATCTGCACATAGCAGCCTAACCAAACGTGGTTGGCTGTGGTGGAATTTCAGAGAAACCCTCCCCCCTCCACCATCCTCAACAATACAGTACCTACTGTGGATTACTTCTGATTCCTAGGAACCACCTTTTCACAGTATTCGAAGTGGTCCTCACATATAGCCTATCCGGAAGAAGACCTAGCAGAGGTTGTATTTCACATCAAATCAGGTAGTACAACCTGCCACAAGAGCTGCCGGTCAGACGGCAACAAGTAATCCGATTTGTAGAGAGGATTGCTCTTGATGCTGATCTTTCCTCCATCCAGGACCTGTGCAGGTCCAGGGTTAGTAAATGGGCAGAAAACATCTCTGCAGACCCCTTACATCCTGGACATAAACTGTTCAAACTGCTACCTTCAGGCAGGTGCTACAGAGCGCTGTTTGTGAAAACCAGACTCCACAGAGGTAGTTTCTTCCCCCAGGCAGTTACTCTCATTGTCATGATGCGCTCCGTGGCAGGTAAGGTGAGACCCAAACGCAGGACTCGGAGACCAAGGATCAACTGAATGAAGCTGCTTTTTGTTGCTGTAGTATGAAAATGCAAAAATATAAAAACACATAAAAACTTGGACCAGGAGGAAACTAAGAACTCGGAACCTACAAGAGAATCATGGAAGACACAAGTAACAGAAAGGGACCAAATATGAACAACAAGAATTACAGAACTAGAATTGTAAATAATGAAAACTCAGAGGCTCTAGGAAATATAAAACTAAAGACTAACTAATACCATAACCATAATCAACCCAAAAACGTAGTCAAAGAACCAGGACCGTGACTCTCATGAACACTATGAAATAACTCCCTGCTTTCATTCAGGCCATATGCACATATTCACATTGCACTACTCAGTTTGCATAGTTTCTAACATACAGCCTATTTTTAAAAAAATGTTTCTTTTCTTTGCATGCAGGGAGCAAAGTGTACTGGAGTCTAATTCCTTGTTCGCGTGTACAAACACGGCCAAATAAAGATGATTCTGATTCTGAAAGCAGAGGTTTGGCTTGCAACCACACACACACACAAACACACAGGGATTTTGCTTTTCAGGTTATCAGGCTAAATCACTATAGACTATAGATTCAAACAACATTTTCAACTACAGCAACAGGAAAGGCATGGGAGTGCAGGGATGACATTGAATCTGATCTGTGATGTGCCTGGGTCTCGAACTTGTGGATCTTATTTAAATTGGTGTAAACAATCTGCGCTTTTAACAAAGACTCAAGGATTCAACTAGCTACCATGTATGTTTTTTTCCCCCTATTTCTTCCCAGGTGAAGATGACGACGATGAGGAGTGTGGGGAAGAGAAGCTGCCCTCGTGTTTTGACTACGTCATGCATTTCCTCACTGTATTCTGGAAGGTTCTGTTCGCCTTCGTCCCGCCCACAGAGTATTGGAATGGCTGGGCCTGCTTTGTAGTCTCCATCTGCATGATCGGACTGCTCACCGCTATGATTGGTAAGACTTTAAATATCCTGAGGGATTGACAAGAGATACACAACAAATGATGGTTTGTTCAACAGCTGAACGCATCTGTTTTCTTCTAAGTATATGCTGTGAAGTATAATGATGGAAATTATTCCTTTCCTATCCTTACAGGGGACCTGGCCTCTCACTTTGGATGCACAGTAGGCCTGAAAGACTCTGTCACAGCAGTAGTATTTGTTGCATTGGGAACCTCAGTACCAGGTAAGCGTGTGAGCACTTATCCTTTATGTTTATATACATGTATGTGTAGGCGTACATGAATCCATCACAGTATATGTTTTTGCCATCTACTGGACCTTGTGCCAGCTTTAATCAAATCCTGTTCTCTCTTTATATTTGCTATTTAGCTTTGTAAAGTCATTATGAGGAAAAGATCTTTGTTCATCAATGAGCCACCTCAAGGAATATATATTGATATTTTCAGTTCTTTGCTCAATTTACTACACAAATCAACAAAAGCTACAGTGGAATGAATATCAAGGCACGCTATTAAAACTTCACAAGTTCGAGAAACACTAAGTAACTAGTAATTCTTATATATACAGTAGCAACTTTCATAAAGATGAGATATATTTCAGCGTGATCTGTTGCACTATAGACTACAAAGTATGCAGGGGATTTTTATGTTGGTTTATGGCAAATTATACAGTCTCAACTCAAATTCACTCATCCAGAAAAGAAATGTCATGGTTATTTAGTAACAGGGAATGGGACTTGGGTAATTATCCATTACTAGAAAATGATCGGCGTAATTCTGGCATCATGATAATATTCACTAAATTTGCTTTACACAAATAGCTTTGAAGAGCTTTTCCACATGAAAGCATCTTTGTATTGATGTTCATTAATATTATTTTTCTGCTATTACAAATCCAAAGAAAAACAACATAAAAGTAGATCAAAAGAACCTCAGAGCTCACATTTCCCGAGCTCTTATTCTCAGTGAACTTGTACCAGAACTAACCCAGTAGTTCTCGGCGTCTTGCCACAATATTTTTTGCATATGGGTCCCCGTTAGACAAAGCAGTGCAGTCTGCCGACAGCAACATGGCTCATCTTGCGTAAGTGTGAAGAATGACCAAATGCGATGGCTGGGTGATTATATGTTTTAACCTTGGTCCCCACATGCACACACAGACAAATACATCAGACATACAGTGTGTACTTGACTGCTAGATGTATAAACTAGAACATGGAAAAACATAAACGACTGCACGACTTGAGTAATAGACAAGCACACTCATCTATCTGAAAAACATTAAAGCTTGAAAGAGATTTTGCACACTTGTGTACACACACCCCCACACACAATGACTTGTACTGTGACTACCATGTGCTATTACCATAAGGCTATTTGTCATGTCAGGCTCAGGTGCTCCCTTGCCTCCCATTTAGGGAGCTTAGGGATAAAAAGCGTGTGCTCCATACTACTTTATACTCACACATATATACATACACACATAGTACATTAGCATATGGCTGTACATGTAATATATGCTCATACACTAAGAAAAATATGCACTTGATATCAGCTGAATTTATGGACACATACACAGAGATGCTCAAGTCACAGTACTGCACACAATGTGTAGAGCTGCCGAATGAAAACAAAGTGGCTCAGCCTTTCTGAAGCTCTCAGCCTTATTAACAGAGCCTCCTGTGGCTTCACCGCACATACGCGCACATACACACACACACAAAGAAACAGACCTCAGTTCTGTGGCTATTACAGTTAATAAAACCCATCCTGTGCTGTGGTTCTATGTCAGTTACCCTCGTTTATCACAGTTAGCCAGGCTAACCCACACATGGAGAAAGGGAGATAGAAAGAAAACAACTAAAGCGGTGCTGTTAGGAAAATTTGAAACTAAAGAAGCTCACATTTCTTTGTAGTTTGCGGGTATTCGGGTAAAATTTCAGGTAAAACTTTGTTGGTTCGTGATTCCACAGTACACTTGATGTGTGCAGTGTATTATCATGACTCCTAATGGCTTCAGAAATTTGATCCGAGCATATAAACTGAGGAAAATACGCAGGGATTTAAAAGAGAAAAAAAAAAGATACATACAGAAGATAAAAGCATTGTGCAATAAATGTTGGTTCAGGACAGTGAAGCTGATAGTCATCATGTATCCTCACAATATTGTATCACAATAAATATGTCATGTAAGACATGATTTTTGACAAATAAATGTAAATAGATAAGATATTTATGATCAGTCACTGTAAAATACTCGAATACTCTTTGACCCTCTGTCAAAGTAACAAATTAATAAATATTCCTGAATGTTTTTCAATTAAACTAATAAGAGCTGCCACACATCAGTCTCCCAGCACTGTCCAGTTCAGAACAAAATATCTTTAAAAAGATTTTCAACTGGTTTATACCCCCTGAGTATTTATATACCCCTCTGTGTATTGTTCAGTATTTTGTGGACCAGTGATCTATAATAAGGAATCTCAAGAGGGCCAGATTTCCTTTGGATAGTCACAGTCCCCAGAGGATTAATGCTTCTGTTTTTATTCCTTTATTGCTAACACTATAAACGTTCCAAATGCCAAGATTTTCCTGAGCATATTAGTTGCATGTTCTTCCATTTTAAGAGGCAATGGGGAAAAACAGGAACAGAGGGGAGAGGGGAAGAAGGAGGAGCATGACGTCAAAAAGAGAAGAGCGAGGCAGTGACTGATTGACAGAGAGGTAGTGGAAAAGGGCAAAAAGCTCTCCAGGGAGCCATAGTGTCACATAAGGAGCTTCAGAGTGGAACCTGTTTCACAGTAACACACACTCACGTCACTGCTGAACACGTACACACCCACGGACTCACCCACTCAATCAAGCTCACAAGCACTCTAAGACCATTTGATGCACAGGCGTGCATGCCTTTGCCAGCTGGTAGAGACATGGCATCAGATTGGACCCAGGTGGCAAACTTCGCAAACACACAGAGACACAGTGTACATACAGTATGCGCTCTTAATACAGAAAACACACACACACACACAAAAACAGGAACACACAGAGCGTTGACACACATCCATAAGCCCAGCAGACAGGTGTTAGTCTCTTTCACAGGCCAATTGTCATATCTATCACCACCCTGTATCTACTTCTTGATCCTCCCATCATCCTCTTTTCCAAAGCCAGGTTGGCTGCTGCTTCAAGTAATCCCTTCCTTCTCTTTTCATCTTTTTCTTTCTTCTGTAATCACAGTTTTTGTCTCTTCTTGTTGTATCTGGCAGAGAAAGGCAAGATGACATGAATCACTAACAAAGAGAAGCTAGCCAGAAAAGAGTGCTAACTGACCATTTGGCTATTTGCTCACCAAACAGCCTATTGTTGAGATCTGGCAGAGTCACCGTTGCTCCTTTCAGTGCAGGAAGGAAGAGCATGACTTTGGAGCTGCTGTAGTTTGGCAAACATTAGGCAGGGGAAATTTTTAGGACTACGCAGCACATTGCTTCTTAGTCACCAGGCCAAAATCTGTTTGTTCCCCCTAACTGCAATTCAACTTTGTAAATTCTTGATCTCGGAGCAAATCGTGCATATGCTGGCTGCTGTAGAAGAAACACTGCAATTGGATTAAAGATTGTGGCTCCTAATTTAAGGTTGCCTGTCTAAAAATAGAAAACAAGATTTATATAGTGCTCTGTATGTGGTCTGTATTAATAGCTATATACATTATGCATGCATGAAAAGTGTCCTTATCTGTCCATGCAGTCTTGTGTAACACAGAAATCACTGCAAATTTACCAGATCCTGAATAATTTTCATAATTCACAGCGGGAAATTATCCCATTACAGCTGCTCAGTCATGTGAAAGTCGTAGAATGCACGATGCATAATTCAAATCTTCCAGTAACAGTCTTACTGGGTTTTCCAGCAGCAGCATGGCTGTTTGTTGGAGAAACATTGATTCTAACAGACCAATATCTTCACTGCAGTGTGACCAGTGTTTCATCGTTTGTATTTTAAACCTTCTTTTCTTACCACTCTTAGATTATTCCTGTTTGTCAGTGGGAGCAATGGGATCTTGATTAATTCTGTGTTGCTGTGAAACGCAGAACCATACACTGATGGAAGTCAAACCGATTCCTTAGAAGAGCTACAAAGTCATCCATCTTTTTGTGCAGAAATCTTACCTTGTCCATGACGATAAAAGTGTAATCCAACTTATATCTCCTCTTTCCTCTCCTCATCTATCTTTTGCCTCCCCTCCTTGTACCTTTGGCATAGATATCCATTGTTGTTATTCTGGTTGAAAGTGGAAATAACATAAAAAAAAAAAAAAGTTCAAATACTCTATGATAACAAAGGCAACTGTTACAGGCAACAGGCACAGTTGGGGGATTTTGTGATTAGGCGTGTCAGTCTGTTTGCAGTGTTAGACATTTAGTCAGTAACACTTAATTTACACTGAATGGAACATTTTGTTTTATTTATTGCTTTACACTTTCACTCCACAAAAACGGTTGCATTCATTTCTTGGTGACGGAAGAAGAATAGGAAAGTCAAAGTTTTTAATAAGTCATCATCAGAATTAAGAGTGTTTTTTATCTTGCGATCAGCTGTATCTGATCTTTTTTTTTTCTTTCTCATTAACTTGAACATGAGAGATTGTAACAACGATCACCAGTTACTTTATGGCCAATGACAACTCTGTTTTTTCTCTCTCTCTCTCTCTTCATCCAGACACATTTGCCAGTAAGGTAGCAGCTATCCAGGATCAGTATGCAGATGCATCCATTGGTAATGTGACAGGCTCCAATGCTGTCAATGTGTTTCTGGGCATTGGGGTAAGTCCAGCACATTTGATTAAAGATGTATTGATTGATAGCTATTTAGAGAAAATGCAGTAGTGCTTGTCATTTTGCTGTAGTATAAATTATTATGTTGTGCTTGGTATAAATGATAGGTTACTGCATGAGTCCTATTCTTTAATTCTGCATGAATGAGTGTGTGACTGACAAGTGGTATGGTCTGTCACACCCATCTGTCTCCTTTGGCAAAGTCTATATTTGCTTTTGTTTCCTTTGTTGTACATGCTCACCGCGTCTCATGTTATTAAATTCAGTTTTGCTGCTGTTCAACAGGTGGCGTGGTCCATTGCTGCCATCTACCACAACAGCAGGGGTGAGGAGTTCAGGGTAGATCCTGGCACGCTGGCTTTCTCGGTCACACTCTTCACCATCTTTGCCTTTATCTGTGTCGCCATGCTGATGTACCGACGGCGACCAGACATTGGTGGAGAGCTGGGTGGGCCCCGGACTGCGAAGGCCCTTACCACCATGCTGTTCGTTAGCCTGTGGCTCCTCTACATCCTCTTCTCCTCACTGGAAGCCTACTGCCACATCCAGGGCTTCTAAGATGATAGGAGATGTTGAAGAGAAGGGTGGGACAAAGCAAGAAAACATGGAGGAAAAAACAAGGGGGAGGTGGATGAATGGATGAATTTGGATTTAGGAATTAAGGCTGTCTCGTTGTTCTATAAGTCCCCCCTTCAGCAATAGATTTAATGATAGATGAATGGATGGATGTACAGATGAAGGAGTGCACATTTAAACAGATAAAGACAGAATGGAAAGAGGTACAGATGCATGGAAGGATAACAAAAAACATGAGATTAATAGGAAGCGAAATTATCCAGAACGGTGGAAGCTTAATGAGAAAAGGAAAAAAAATCAAAGATATATATTCGCGTCTCACTCTAAAAGTGCAAACCAATCAAGTCATCTTATTAAACGTGTCCCAACTGGCTCGACCTTACAGAATTACAATGAATTTAAACACTTGGACTGAGGTTAAAACAGAGGTACGCACCATAAAAGCTCCTATTGAGAACGAGTGGTTTCAGCAGGAGCCCTCTTTCAGTGTAGTGCATCGTATCCAAACACTGTAACAGGCAGGAGTGAGACAGACAAAGAAAGAATAACTTTATCAGTATGTGCATGCATGACCAGACAATACTGAAAACATAATCAGAAGAAACCGGATACATTGCCACAATTGTTTCATGACAACTAACTGTGTGTGTGCTGGTGTGTAACAGTGGGTGTCCCTGCTTGTGTGTTGTGGGAAGATGGTCAAGTACTGTGAAAAAAAACGCCTCTCGTCTTGCTCTCACTGCGTGAGGCGAGATATGCTTTCGTGTTCGAGGTCTTTTTGACTCTCGCTCTCCCAGCCTGTAGAAATGCCGAGTATGACTTTCGCAGGAGAGCAAATTCAGTGAGATGAAATGTTTTAAGCGTCACTGAGGTTCGAATTGTAAATATAAAGAGCTGATCGTACATTACAGCTTCACGGTTTTCCTTCTGAATGTCTCGGTTACGCCATGCGCTCCTGATCGGACCCTCTTTCTGTTGCTTTATACTGTAAATGTAAATGAATTAAGGACTAATTTGAACCAAGAAGTGGTTAGTGTGCTTTTATCTTTAATAAGGTCATGTCTGAGAAGACGAAATGGCCACTCTACCGTCGAAAACTGTTAGAAACTATTATCACTGCATAAATATCTAGGTATTTTTGATTTTACTATGGAACCACCTGGTGTTCCACCTGTGGGATTGCCGCCATCATTTCTGAATCATAACTTTTAAATAGCCTGAAAATTCTAGCTAGCACCTATTATAGGCCTTCTTTTCCTTCATTTTCTGCCACTTGGTTTACTTAACAGCTTCAGTCATTATCTCTGTGCATCGCCAACCTGGCTGGTCGCTGGACCAATCAAAATCTTCAAGGGCTTTGTAATAACCACTAATCCCTAACCCTGACCCTTGATTTATAATGTTTCACATAGATTGGTCGTTAAGGGGAATATTTAACAGGCGCTTATATTGGTAAACCTTACACATTGACTTCTCAGTTAAAAGAGCTTTGCTTCAAACTAGCGCAGGGCTACATGAGATAATAGCTGCACGTCTTTGTTATGTTACCACACCAGGCATCAAGAATTTCCTAGATATTGTAAAAGCAACCTGCTGCTTCTAAGTACTCATTCAGACAAGGCTTCAACTTTTCATTCCAAAAAACACTACTAGTCAAAAACATTTTACTCATAATATGTCTGGATGACGAAGGCCTTAACCTAAAGAAAGCAATTACCATCTGGCTTTGTCATATTTCTTTATTCAAAGGTAAGTTGCTTTCAAACAAATAACCTTAATGTGATCTGTGGGATTTACTCATTCTTGTTGAACTTGACACATTAGTTCAGCTGCCAGTTTTCAGTCTTAACACAAAAGCCATCAGATAAAGGGATAGCTGAAAATGATTTTCTGTTGGGCCGGACGTCAGCGTAGAGGACGGGGTAAATGTGGATATGTAACACAGGTTACATCTAATCTCAGACAGCCTGTGTTTGACAAGCTCACACCGGTTTCAGGGCAATAACAGAAAGCTAACAGGGATACAGTTACAACACTTGTCCCCACAAATCTCCTCCTGCTGTGGAGTATATAGCCCAGTGTTTTAATTCTCAGTAGCCAGGTTACCATGGTAGTCCACCCTGGTTAAAAGCTAATTAACTCCTAAAGTGTATAATCTCTCTTTGTGACATGGGCACAAACAGTCTCTGTTATTCTATTATATATGTAGCATACTTTTGTTAGTTTAACAATGTAAACTGATCTTAAATTATTACCCCTGGTCTGTGTGCATGATGTGACAGAGGCCCACTTGGACTTATTTATCATCCTAATAGTGTGCTAGTAGCTTAAAAGGACACCGGGGCATATGAAACACTACGTCTACTGCGTGCAGACCAAACTTACTGCCAGATCGTAAGACTCACAAACTAAAATTCCAAAACACTAAATGTCTGGAAATCTTCTGCTTTCTGTAATTCAGTATTAGACAGACAACAAATCGATCCCAAAACCTCGAACACCAAGGGCCCAGAATTATGTACATTTTAAAGCCTGTCTCGACTGTCAGAGAAGTTTAGACTTCAGACTGTTAACTATTGCAACATTCAGCTAAACTCACAAAGATCTCAGCATACACGTAACTTACAGTATATGTAGGCATAATAAAAGTCCATAAGTCCAGAATTCCTCTGCTTCTAATGTGTTTTTTACTTGATGTATATGATAAATTGTATTTATAATGTCATCTGTAAAAGTAAGTAGTCCGGACTAGATGTAATCCATTTTAAACTTGGCAGGATTCTTGTAAAAGGCAGATTTTAACCCCTGAGAAAGTAGACCTGGGCTGGCTTAGATTGGATGAGTTTGGCAAATCCAGATAATTGCAACGATATAAATACTCTGAATATAGCTTTTGAAAAAATTATTAATTACACAACAACACTAGGATGAAAATTTGAGAAGACAGTGCTACAGAAAAATGGCTTTGTTGCTGCAGTTTTGTTTGTTGTACAGTTTGAAAACTACTAAGAAAAGACATTTGGTGTATATGTCATTTGATAGCTACAGTATAATGAGATATTGCATTACTTGCATTTGTCAAACTCAGCACAATCTGTGGCTCATCATTAGAGTAGCTGTTCTTAAGTGAAGGCCTTGGAGTGGCAGTTTACCCCTGTTTTGCCAAAGGGAAAACTTTATATCAGATATTAATGTTTGCAGTCCAATCTGTAAAGGGTTTTCTAACCAATGGATCTTTCTTAAAACACCAAATATAATTCATATTTGATTAGTAATCTGAAAAGCATTAAAAAAGGCTTGATGTTGTTTTAACAGAACTCAAATCTTTTTATTTAAATTTGTATGTATTTGTCTCTTCACTGGCACGAGCTGAGGGTTTATACACTGTAAAAAAACTAAATTATGCTAGCTTGCTTTTAAAAAAAAAAGAAGGAATAACGATATTAAAGCTGTATGCATCACTTTTTGAGTACCTTCAGTAAGGTATTGTCTTTGATATTGCTAAATCATGTTGGAATTACTTAAAATGTGCCAGCTGCCTAATATTTTGAGGTGAACTCTAGCGTGAGCAGGAATCAAATGCTTGCAAAAATGCAGTTTCGTGCATTAAATTTATGGCTTGTATTTTTTTTTTTAAATGCTAAAAGTTTTCTTTTATGGGAATTTAGCTCTTTTGCTGCACTGGCTTTGCTGCACTGGCGTTGCTGCACCGTCTCTCTGGGTGTATTCACTTTGGCTTAAGAGCTAGTCTGACATGAACCTTATTGGCAGATTAATGACAGCTGTTCAGAGTTTGAAACAAGGCTGGAAACTAAACATTGTTAGCTGTTGTTTAGCTAAAGACTTTTCTTGGCTGTACATCATCAAATATTAACTTTCTGGTTGAACTTTTTTTTTTCTATCTGCAACTAGCAACTTTCCTGCAAAGACTGTAAAGCAATTTGTTCCAGCTCAAGTCACAATAACGCTTGAGTCCAGCTTCGTGCTTTGGTTTGAAATTCTGCATTTTAAAGGGTCAAAAGTTAGCCAGGTCATCACTGTATATATTAACACTAACAGCTAGTAAGGAGTAGAAAAATGAGCTGTAGATTGCATTTGTTTTAACTTTTGTTCTTCTGTGGTGGGGTTTGAAACAGAATTGGGCAGGTTTTTAAATGACGGACAAGCATTGCACTGGTTCTTGTCGCTTATGTGAAACGGCTACTACGTTGGTTCATTTACAGAGTTGCTTCTGATGTAAAAAACAGAGATTGTGTTTTCTGTCTCTGATTTACACAATAATAATGATGTACCTGATGTAAAAATACAGTGGTGTTGAATCAGTTGTAAACCATTAACAATGTTGATTCTAATGTAAGGGTTGACGATATGTTTGTGTTGCCATATTCACTTTTTAACTGACTGTCTGTCTGACAGACCGAGGAATAAATAACAGCAACATCGGACAGACAAAATGAGCAAAAGGAAGGACAAACGCCCCTACTGGTACAAGCGGAGCAATATTTGCTACAGAGAAAAAAATGTACCGCTGGAAACAAAGGCTACCAGAGCTATTCTCTACCTTAAAATGCAACATTTAACATGTAGAAAAAAGGATGGTGATGTAGAGAAGAAGAAAGAAAAAGAAGATGACACGAAAGAAGATGAAAATAATAATAATAATAATTAAAAAATGAAGTTACAGCCATATGTTGATTTCTGGGTCAGAGAGACTGATGTGGACTTCTCCTGCCCAGCATGTGTATTGTTATGGTGTCTTTATCTGTCCCTGTGTCTCTCCACCCTCTTTCTCTATCTTGCTTTCTCAATCTCACTGCTGCCAAAGTAACCAAAACAGGCAGTTCTCCTTTTGTTCCGTATCTTCTTCCCAGCTCCCGTTCTACCCTCTGTCTCCCTATGCCATGTTTTCCATATTTTGGAATGTCAATGTGCTACTTGTTGACACTGTGCATGAATGATAACATGTCTGTATATAGTTATAGAGAATTGTATCCCATTTCCTTAGTGTTGACTAAAAAAGGTTTGAATGTTGTACAGATTCAGGTTTTCCTTTTTTTCTGTTCAGTTACATTTTGTAATGTATGTAGAGCTTAACAACATTTTGTTTTTAATTTAAACAAAGATGCGATGACTTTTTTTTTTTTTGGAGTAACTTGCACATTACTAATGAATTCATCAAGTTTTTTTGTTAAAAAAGGCAATATCTGCTGTTATTGAATGAGAGATGTGATCTTAAAGAAGTTATGTATCTTAAATAAGTAATCTATATGGGAGCTGCATGGGTTATTTGTACAAAAAAAGAGACACTGCTTGCTACTTCTAATACTGTGGCTGTATTCTCCGACAGAGGATGAGGAATACTGTATGTATATCTAAAGGTTATTTTGTCATTAAAGAAATAATAATAATAATAATAATAATGTGTATATACTGTACAGTGTTATAAGTGAGGTGGACTATACGACCATCACACTAACCATAGAGAATTAATTCTACATATTTATTTAAAGGAAACAACAACACTCGCTACACTCAAGAATGACATATATTGCCTTTTTGGAGAAGTTGTAGTTTGCTTAGAGCTTATTTCTCTATCGCTGCCTCACTCTGCCCTCCCATGCATCCTCTTTCTTCATTCTTGGTTGGTTAATTTTTTTCCTTCCATCTGCTTCCATTTACTTTTATTTTGGCGTTGGAGGCTTTTGAGATTGCCTTTTGTCAGTGATTGTTGTCGTTTGATTCAGACAGCGTTATGTTTTTAGTTTGTCTTTTTGACTCGTGTCTCACTTATGGTTGCTTTTTATGCCCCCTAAATCATTATCTCTAGAACTGCTTCTATTCACCAACATCCAAGTATAGTTATGAATATCTGCCTGTGCATCTGATTTAGTCTCTCAACGGATAATTTGTTTGTATTTAAACCATCTGTTTTCCGAGCTGTCGATCATTTATCTTGGTTGCTGAATAATTCTCTTTTTGTTTTTCTTTCCTAAATTCTTCCTTTGTGCCAACAAATTCTGGTTTTTATTTCTTCACTCCTTCCTTTCATTCATCTTCTCTTTCTTTCTCTGTCCTCTTTGCACTTTCGGGGTGTTTCAGGGTTTTTTATGTTTGTCACTTTGATTTGATGTGGGGGTTTTTTCTTTTCTTAACGGAACAGTAACTTTAATAATCATGTTTGTAATAATTTTTAAGATTTGTTTTCTTTTTGCCGCTGTTTCTCTGTGTGTGCGTGTATTAATTTTCTTTTCTTTTTTAAATTAATTTCTGGTCAAGACCAAATGATAGGAGGAAAGTTGTTGTATGTGTGTTGCCACTAACTGTGACTGCTCTCCATGGTACATGGTAATTCTGATAAAACCAGTAAAATAAAGTTTGGGATACCCTGTTTCAGAGACCCTGTGAGTGCACTGCCTTTCTACAGTGTGTGTTTGTGAGCATGTGTGTTTGTGTTACATCCTGTCTGTATTTAAAAGCTTTAGTATCAAACATATTTATTATGCAGTTTCTATTATTAGCTACATATTCAATAAGTAAATAGAATCTGTGTGTCTCTTGTACACTTGAACATCCATATATATATAAATGCTAAATAAGAGGGGCCCTAGGATGGAGCCTTTGGGGACCCCACATGTGATTTCTATATTTTGTGATGAGAATTGGCTTATTGACACATAGAAGTTCCTGTTGTTAAGGTAGGATTTGAACCAGTCGAGTGCCGTACCAGAGAGTCCGACCCAGCTCTCGAGACGTTCCAGTAATATGTCATGATCAACGGTGTCAAACGCCACACTAAGGTCCAATAGTACCAATACTGTGGATTTTAATAACTAAATAATTAATTTGGATTAAAATAAAAATCTACCAGTGGATAGACTGTTATTGAGACTACCTTATATAAATTTTATGCAGTACAGATAGAACATCTGTCCTTTAGAGTATAAAAATGTTCTAAATTCACATTTGCACTGGTCTTTTTTAATTATCTGACAAATTATGTCCCCTGCTGTGTAATTTATAGTAGTTATAGACTTTATATACAGTACTCTGCAAAAATCTTGAGTCACCACTCATTTGTTTATATATAGCTTGGAAAAGAGGAAAATTTGCAAATAATTTGCACATATAAATGGGAAATTTGTATATTAGTATATTTCTAATGAGGTTTGACCAACACAATTCACTTTTGCTTCTTGGAAGCAAAGCACAAAGAGCTGAAGGTTGGCTTGTGACTTTTGCAATGAAGTAAAATACTGGTATAGCCTTGAGATGACTGTTGCTTGGTAGTTTATAAATAAAATTCAACCAGATTTCATTGAATTGAATCGTGACATCCCCCTCTGGTTAGTGACATCCCACTATTAAGCTTCAATCTGCCATTACCATTGATGTGAAACCGGACATGAGGATCTAACTGAGAAACAAAGGGATACTGTATGCTTATAGGCTAAATCACACAGTAATGTTTGATTAACAGTCCTTCTAAATGGAATTAAACTTTATTGTCATTGCACATGTCACAAGTACAAGGCAACAAAATGCAGTTTGCATCCATCCAGAAAGTGCTTTTGCAATAATATAGATATATTACAGAATGTGGATCTATACAGCTGTAAGGAAGAAGCTGTTCCAGTACCTGGTGGTCTTAGTCCGGATGCTCCCAAAGGGCAGGAGAGCCCGTGTGCTGGGTGACTGGGGTCTTTGATGATTTTCCCAGCCCTTTTCAGACACCTCTTCCTCCAGATGTCTTGTATGGCAGGAAGTGGTGCTCCAGCGATGCGCTGTGCGGTTTTCAAAACCCTCTGCAACGCTAGAGCAGCTCCCACACCAGACTGTTATACAGTTGGTCAGGATGCTCTCAATGGTGCAGCGGTACCATAATTTTAAAAATGGCTATCATTTTATATTCAGTAAATGGGCTTCTGTGGCCATAAACCCATCAGAAAAGTGTTTTGAGGTCACAGAGTGAGAGATCTAAAGGTTCATATAGACAACAAAAGGCTTTTCCACTGTTGTTAGTAAGAATGCAGGCTTAATATTACAACCCTTTTAATACTAATTAGTCATTGCAAATATTGACATCACACATTTCACTTACCTTTCCAAATCACTACCTTAACTTGTGTTTACTACCTAACATCCAGTTACTATATTACATGCAACCTTGTTACTGTCACTATCCTGATACATCCATGCTGGCACTGTTTGCTGCTGCAGCTCAGTCCCAGTCTATCCTAGTTAAAAACATTTTGCCGAATCTTGCACGTGACAAAATTGATTTTCATAGTGTGACCGTGATTGGCATTTTGTGAGAGCTCCCTCATAAATCTGTGTAACCATTTGCTGTAAATTGTTATTTTCTTGATCTGAATGTCTTCTAGGTTTATTTGAACTAAAAGCAGCCAAACGGCATGTTACACTTGCCTAAAGCACTCACTTAGGAAAAACACCTTCCGGGTAAAGTAGGGGGTCTGATTTGAAACTGAGTAAAAAGAAAAAACTGCAGGGCTTTTAGAGAAATAAACAGAATGTAAATATAGAGAAAGTTACACAATGGTCAGTAGAAAGCCTTTATAAGAGCTGATTGATAGATGAATTGTGTTTAGGTTTCTCCTCTTCCTTAGCTGCCACCATGATGGATCATGCCTGTTCTCTGCTGCAGGCATGATGGATTATTCCAAACACAAATAAATCCTCTTCCTGTTTGTTACATTTAGTTGTGGCTGATGTTTTATTTATTTTAATCCTGTCCTGTCTAGCACCTTTTGCAAACAGAATTGAAGCACTGTGGTGCTTCAGGGTGTCGCCAGGCAGTACAGCCAGCAAAGCCACATGAATGGCCTTCAACATCCATGGTGATCCACAACAACCTAGTCAAACAACAGACACACACAGTAAAAGGACAAGACAAACTGGTCTGGGTCTGAGACAAGGTGCACCCAGCAATGTTTGCTTCCCCATCCCACCCAGTTGGCCTACGGGCACCCACGAGCCCTGCAGGTGCAGACTGGATATCCTAACGTGGGTCGGCCCACTCTACAAGGCAAGGGGGCAAACCACTCCCACACAACAATGGACCCACCCTGAGACTAGGTGAACCCTGGTGTAGTTATTTAAAGTGCAAGAGACTAGGTAAGAGACAAGAGACTAGGTAAATTCTTTTTTATTTTTGTTGTTTGAAGGTTGCGTATAAGTCAGCAAAATACACCGTGTTGCAGCATGTTTCATGCCGTTACTTATGTAAAGGTGTTTGCCTTGGCTGTTCATTATTTGCCCTCTGCTGTGTCTGTCTGAAATCTCATTAGCCTGTCACATTTGATTTCTAGACAGGTTCTTGTCTGGGCAGCCCACTGCTTGAAGGTTAACATGCTGGGAACTTAATGCGAATTTATGCATGTGTATGTGTGTGTGCATGGTTGATCCTGAATGCTGAATAAAACCTAAAACTGTCAGAAAGTCAAAGTTGGCTGTCAAACTATATGCAACGACTTAGTGAGAGACAAAAGGGCAAGCCTTGATTTTCTGTTTTAAAGAAAATCCTTTCTTTTAGCTCTCTGTCAGTCAGTGCTCATTCAAAGCCTGTGTTCTGAACAACAAGTTGCTTTACAAAACAATCAAGTACTTTAAAGATAGTTTGTTGTATGCTGTACTATACCTTTAAGATATAGATTAAAAGTGCACATCTTGAAGCATTGCAGGTATTTACTTTAACGGGCTAATAAAATAGCAAGTTATCCATGGGACAGTGATTAATCTGCTTGGGTTTGCAATAGTGAACACTACTGGAATGGATTAGACTGAATAATTCCCTAACAGGTATGACCTGTGACTCTGACTTTTGTCACAAAAGAGATATACTAAAAGATGTGTGTGTGTGTGCGCGTGTGTGTGTGTGTGTACATGTTTATATATATTTGTGAGGACCAAATATTTTGAAGGCATTTTGAGACTCAAAATGTGGTTTTAGTGTCAGGGTTACAGTTAGGCTATGGTTAGGTTTAGGCTAAAGGTTAGGATTAGGCATGGAAAGCATTATGTCAATTAGATGTCCTCACTAAGATATAAAAGGCAAGTGTGTGCACGTGTGTCCAGTGAAATAATAACTTATTAGTCTGAACATGCAGTTTGTAAATACACCATATGGACAACAGTACTGGGACATTTACACATTACACCTACAGCAGCTGCTCAGCCATGGAAGCTCATCCCACGAAGCTCCAGGTGCACAATTTCTGTGCTGATGTTAATGAAAGAGGAGTTTTAGAACTTTGGAGTTATTGAGTCAGTCAGAGTGTTCGTGACTTTTACATAATATGCACCTTATTGCTTTGAAATAACACAAATGACTCACGTAAGTAAAAAAAAACAAAACACAAATTTGTTATGTAAATCCAAATAAATAAGATTCTTTTTTTCTTGGAAGTTACTTTAACACAGTTGGGCGGACCATTTAAAGTAAAAAAAAAAAAGTTTAAAAAAATAATAGACTGTTCAGTAAATCCAAAAAAAGGAGACTTTAAAACAGACGATGGTGAGATTTAATTTTCTTTCTTTTCCCCAGTGATTAATTTTAGAGTATCTTAAAATGCATTCTATTATAAGGTTTCAACAGTCTAACTGGTAACTTGTGTTTGGTGTCCTTGCTTTAAGTTGAAACACCTCTGCCCTGCTTCAGTTAAAGTTTGGAAGGTACGTACTAGAAGAAAAAGCTTTTGTGTTTCTGTTCATGGAGTGAAACTGTGGAACAGTCTGAATATGGAATTAAAGCAATGTCCAAACATAAAACTGTTCAAAAAGAGTTATAAAAATATGATCTCCTCAAACTATAAAGAAAAGGAAAATATTGAAATTAAGTGAATGTCTCTATTTAAAAAAAAAAAAAATCATGATGTGATATTATAGTATATAGAATATCAGAAATCTGTTCACTTTTTTTTATTGCAAATTATATCAGTAAGGAAGCTGACTAAATATTAACTGATAATTTATGGCGTGGGATTAAATAAGTGTTTACTTCTTCCCACTCCCTTTCAACATGTAAATTAATCAGAACGATAGCTATATTGAAATGTATTGTTTTTATTATTATTTTCTTTTCTAAATGTATCTGTATATTATTTACATGTTTGAAATAAATAAAAATAAAACATGTCTAAAATATTCTGAGAATATGTTGTTCTATCTAAAATTACAGAAGATACTTGACATCAGTTTTATCCTTACCGTGTATTCAGTGAGGCCTCTTTGTGTTAAGTCCTTCTAATATAAAGGTGCTGATGGAAAGTACCTTTTTATATGAGTTTATTTTTGTAAGCATCTTTGTCTAAATGTTTTCCTGGGATCATGCCACTCTTGTACAACATTTTCTCAAGAGGGCTGTAAGTGAAGAAGTGCCTG